ATTATAAAGTACATTTTTTTCTACCTACAATTAGAAGAAATTTCTTATGAACAGCTTCAGTTTTCTTTTTGTCAAGAAAAACTCAATAATTTGCTGTAAAAAAAATCAATTTTTAGTACTTATGACAAATTTGCTTTCCATACATAACAATACTACACGCTTCTTTTGTTTTAAGAAGAAATATTAAAACATATTTCCTGTTTATACAGCCAAATGTCTTCAGAACGACATGCTTTTAGCATTTTTCACAATCTTCGCGCAGAACACCACACGCCTTGGAAGTTATCTTATACTTGAGCAACTTTAAAGGAAACCAAATGACACAATTTGTATTTCAACAATCTTTAATGTTGTAAATGTACTTCAGACATGTTAGAAAAACCCTTGTTCTGAAAGGCAGTTTATGAAAAAACAGAAAAAAAGACTCTTAATGGATGAATATTGTCAATGTTAACATTTTATAATAAATATTTTCATAGAGAATTAACAACCTCTACAAATGTTTTTGTAAGAATCTATAAAACAGTGAAAATGTGTTTAATTTCACATCTATTCTGTCCCAGATTGTAATCTTAAACAACTAGACTGAAGATATCTGAATGAGATGATCTAATCTGACATCATCAATCCAGAAACTTTTATTGTGAAAATAAAAAAAAGGCAATTTATCTGTTTTTGAGCATCATATACAAACACCAAGTGTTCACCAAACTAATAATAATCAGCTTTAGCTTCAAATTCTACAGATATACAAAACCTAAACAGAAACATACTCAATAAAAAGATCTCACACAAAAACAACAGACTGCAGAATAAATGGGTCATCTTGGTGAAATACATTTTTAGTTACTTGATCTTTTATCTATTTAATGTTATTATAATGACTAAAGATAAAGGTTAAACACTTTAAAGTCAGCTGTTTAAAGGTGTAGAACTCTGTGTGGCGTTTAAACCTACAAACCGGACGTCCACCTCTTTGGGAACGTCTGATTTCCCCTCCAGGATCTCCTGGATTTGACTGAGCACCTTTTCGTGGAACACGATGTCCAGGTGGGCCAGTCCTCGGTACTCCGTCACGTGGACGGGCTGCTCCTGCTGACCCGCCCAGCGTTTGCACAGCCCCGTGCTGAAGCTGTCCACCGAGTCGTCACCGTCGGCGTAAACATAGTCCACCGGGTCCGCGTCCGGAAACTCCTCGTTGTAAATGTGGGTCACGGGGGTCGGCAAGCCCACGCCGTACATGCACCACACCTCCACACCGGGCGGGTGGAGAGCACTGGTGAGGTTCTTGGTGTCCTCGTACTTGTACCTGTGGTGGATACAGAGAAATATTATTATTTAACATGATTATAAAGTTACAGCTTCCTGCACAAGTGAGCAATTTATTCAATCCTGACCACCAGGGGGCGCTGAATCACCACAACGAGCATTTAAAACCCAGTTTTAAAAATAATCTGTTGAAACTCTGCACTTCCACCTGACCTTTTCTGAGAACAGATCAATAAATCAGCTGATCATCTACATAAGGTTCAAAAACACCAGACAAATTTACAGAAAATAATGTTTTCTTTAAACACAGCAGTAAATACGTCAGCAAACCCCCCAAAAATATAATAATTGTCACCAATGCCTCAAATTGAGACCTCAGCTTCATATAATTAATTAATTTTGACATTTTGGACCATTTTCTTCCAATAAGTAACTTTTCAAACACTTAAAGTTTAAATCTGGTCTGCTGTAGAGAAGTGCCACCACTGTTCTTTTGATTTTTTTTTTTTACTTGGTATGTTAAATACAAAATTTTATTCACACATAATGCAGCACAATACATACAGGCAGAGTTGTAAAGCAACCTAAGTACAAATATTTTTTACTATATTTAAGTAGAATTTTTGGGTATCTGTACTTTACCTGAGTAATTATTTTTCAGCCTACTTTTTACTTCTACTCTTTACATTTAAAAAAAGAGGCAAGAAGTAGAAAGTCGGTACTTTTATTTCATTTTTGCTTGTTTTCATTCCAGCTTGTTATTGTAAAAAATAAAAACTATCCATATAAACTGTGCCTCCTATAGAATGAATTTAACTGTGGTTGAATGAGAAGTATAAATATATAAAACTCTGATACAGTATTAGTTTGTACACAAACAAATCACGTTACACTCCAGCAGGACATAAAAAAATAAAATAAAAGGACTGTACTTAAGAAGTATTTGTATTTCATGAATCATATTATTACATTTGGCCGCAGCCCTCAGATAGATTTTCATTTTGGGGAAAAGCTTTGTGCAGCCTTGATATATGTATATAAACTGAAACAGCTGGACTAGTGCATCCTAAATTTAACATAAATTATTTTAATACAACAGTCATTTCTGCATGTTTTGGGGAGGCAGAAAATCTAACTGCTCATTTTAAATCAATACTTTTACTTTTAATACTTAAGTACAAAAAATATCAGATACTTAAAGACTTTTAATCAAATAATATTCCTAAAGGAGATTTTAACTTTTACCAAAGTAATTCTTTGGTAAGATACTTGTACTTTTACTGAAGTATCACTTTGTGGTACTTTATACAACACTGCATACAGGGTATGTGTTTGATTTGTACTGGTTTATTATCTAGTACCCACAGAGACATAGAAATATTATAAAATGATGTCACCGTGTACTTAAAGGGGGGGTGGGTCTTATGTATTTTCCAGGCACATAGTTCAATTCAATACCACAATCAAGAATTTGACTTTGCTTATTGAAATGCCTTGAAATTAGCCTGTGTCTCTTTAAGAACCTCCTATCGGGAGCTCGCTTTCACACCTTCAGGGAGGAGCTTTGCACAAATAGGCGGAGCTTTGTAGCAGCAAGCATTTAGGCAGCTCCACAGCCATGCATGAATGAGTCAAAGCAACATTCTGGGCATGTTTTTGATGATATAAAGCTCAAACATTTTGTATTTGGTAAGTCCGGGGTGTACAATCCTGATCCTCACAGGCAGCTTTGCTTCATGTTTTACTTGTTTCTCTGCTCCAAAACTTGATTCAGTGATTTAATTACCTGTGTCAATCATTATTCACATCAGGTGTGCTGGAGCAGAGAAACCTCTAAAACATGCAGGATAGCGGTCCCCCGGGACCAGGACTGGACACCCCTGGGGTAAGTTAGTTCACTTTTTAATGGCCTGATGCAATGGCACTTTTTCTTCACGGGTAAACTAAGAAAAACAATGCCGGTTTTGCACTTTTCACTGATTTGTTTATCCTAAAAGGGAACAAAAACCATTGTAAATTACCAGTCATCCTCGTCGTCGATGTCCCTGAACAAGCGCTGGTAGTCCTGATTGGTGTAGTTAAAGGTCGGCGTGGAGACAAAGACATGGTCTTCTGGCCACAGCCCCTCATTTGGCAGCATCCAGGCATGAGTTGTCATCATCCTTTGCTTCTCGCGGATCTTAATGTTCGAAATCATCGGGATGCCGTCGTTTTCACCTGCAATCGACAAAGTTTTTAATCCGTCTGAGGAGGCAGGACGGCACTCTGGTTTACTTAGCTAGTCGTTACCCGAGGCGAGGACTCTAATGACTTTAACGGCGCCGCCCCATGGGACACCCAAGGAAATGAAGCCCCGGATGTATTTGTCCTTCCAGGCTTGGGGCTGATGGTTCAGGAAGTACAGGACGTAATGGCCGCCCATGCTGTGTCCCAGCAGGTAAACGGGCTTCTGGTACTCCTCATACATCTCCTCCACCAGACCCTGCAGCTTCGTGAAGTATTCCGCATTTTCATCTGAAGGACGAGACGACAGAAGAGGACTCGTTTTAATTAATGTCTTATTAAAATAGAAAGATAATTGTGTTTTTCTTTTCTCACGTGGCGCTCGCCTCCAATCGTATGGGGCGCCGCGGACCGTCTCGTTGCGGACGTAGCCCACGTTGACCAGATGTTGCACCATGGAGTGAAAATAACCTGAAAAAATGGTTTATTTGGATTATTCTCATAAAACATCCCCTGTAGATCAGTTCATGTTTTTATATATATATAAGTTCTATCAAATACTTCTTGAACCGTGAGCGACAGAAGAGATTGTTTTTTACTCGTGTGAATTTTCACATTTGTACAGCACTTTCCCTCAGAGATGCGATGAGATAAATGTAGTGGTCCTTCCATGATTTCTGACACTTTGAGAGAAAACCATTTGTTCTGGGGGTACATGTAGCTCTTCAGGCCACATTAATGTACAAATATAAAAAGATATTAAGTATAGAGATCATTTTTGAGGTGGATAATATATGCTGCCATTCTTGTACAGTTTTTTTTGGATATAAATGGACACTTGTACATGCTTTTATTTAAATAAAATAAGTCATTTTTATGTTTTTGTTATCAAATTTGAACTGGTAATTAGTTGAGACTTGTTGCTTTAGATTTCATATCATTTTTCAACCAATGCTTTTCATATGCAGACACCTTTTTTAAAAATATTTAAGTAATTTGAATTTAATTTGGGTCTGGGTTTTTTATGGCGTTTTAGGTATGTTGGTGGCACCATTTGGGCTGATTTGTCACGAAAAAGTTCAAGCACAATGCACGAACAAATCAAGATGGCTGCCACATTAACATCTCTCACCTGCCAGTTTGTTGTAGTCCAGAAACTCCACGGAATAGGTCTCCCCGAATCCTGGTACTCGCACCTGAACCCCCGGTGAGTTGGAGGAGCGCCGAGTCGTCCGGTTGTAATGAAGTCTGGAAGAAACACAGACAAGTGAAACCTCCTGGAGTGTCTGGAAGGACTGCAGCTGGATTACTTAACACCTTATGTGGATTAATGTAAGTTTAAAGAAAAGATGTTTTATGACACAAAGATCCTGAACACTCTGAGGTTCGTGGTACCGGATGTTGTCGATCCAGCAGTCCACGCCTACCGGCATGAACATGTTCAGGTCGATCCACAGAGGGAACCAGTGCTCCGTTTTCTTGTAACACAACCAGTGCACCAGCGTGGGTTTATTGATTTTGGCTTCCAGACGGTTCCCCAGGTTTCCTGGTACTGAACACAAAACAACAAATACGAAGGAAAAATGGTGATTGATGAATCTGTTTTTTATGAGGATATTTTTACCAAATAAAAAAGTGTTTTTTGGTACATTGTTGTCTAAATTAGCCTGAAATTTAACTAGGGGTCTCTGCAGTACGTTGTCCTGTGGGCGGAGTTGGTCCTACCCGTGACTGGCGGAGGTCTTGATGTCAGCATAGTTGGCTCTACCCATGATTGGCGGAGGTCTTGATGTCAACATAGTTGGCTCTGCCTGTGATTGGCGGAGGTCTTGATGTCAACATAGTTGGCTCTGCCTGTGATTGGCGGAGGTCTTGATGTCAACATAGTTGGCTCTACCCATGATTGGTGGAGGTCTTCATGTTGACATAGTTGGCTCTGCCCGTGATTGGCGGAGGTCTTGATGTCAACATAGTTGGCTCTACCCATGATTGGTGGAGGTCTTGATGTTGACGTAGTTGGCTCTACCCATGATTGGCAGAGGTTTCAATGTGGGCGGAGTTGGCCCTACCCATGATTGGTGAGGTCTTGACGTTGACGTAGTTGGCTCTACCCGTGATTGGTGGAGGTCTTCATGTTGACGTAGTTGGCCCTACCCGTGATTGGCAGAGGTCTCAATGTGGGCGGAGTTGGGCCTACCCGTGATTAATGGAGGTCTTTGTGTGGGTGGAGTTGGCCCTACTCATGACTGACGAAGCAAAGGTATTGGTGTGGGTGGAGTTGGCCCTCTCATGATTGACGGAGATCTTGATGTCAGCGGAGTTGGCCCTACTCGTGATTGTCAGAGGTCTTGGTGTGGGCGGAGTTGGCCCTACTCGTGTTTGGTCAGATTGACTTGTCTTGTGGGGCAACTTAAAACAGGATGTAATGAAAATAGTAAAATAATATGATTTATTGACTGTCTACGTACAGTTTAAAACAGAACAATGACTCAAATAAAAATTACTGTGAACATGTAAACATAATTTATTGACTTCAAATTTTGTGCAGCACCTTCCTGTCTCAAGTTATGACTAATATCAATCTCTATATTTAAAAAAATATATAGGTGCTTCCTGCCTGATTCAACTGATCTGCCCCCCAGCTTCTTCAAATCCCACCGTCAATCTGACCAGTCACGTCCTAGCCTAACTCCTCCCACAAAGTAAGAAACTCCTACAGTGACTGCAGAAACCCCCTTCTCCTGAAATTGCTGGTAGAAACAAGTTTTATTTACAGATATTCACTTTGTGATCTTGTGAGCTGCAGTGGGAGGGATTTATCAGGACTCCTCCCACTCAAGAACATCTCATAGGTCAGCAAGAAATCTTCTTCTTGTGAAAT